AGTACAAAATATATTACTTAATTAATTTTTAAAATTATCATTGTTATCATCATCACTGTCACAAACATTCTTATCTTACTATCAAGAAAAACTACTATGGACCCAGGTTGCCCCAAGGTAACACTTGGTTCCTTCCTGCACTTCTGGCGATGCAGGGATAACCAGGAAGGGCACTGAAGGGCTCCCAGAGGAAGGCCCTGGGAATGACAGCTCAGGGAAGGGATGCGGCCAGCACAGAGACAGGAGCCCCGGGCACTGGGGAGCGGGTGTAACCGCCTTCAAGGGCTGTCCTTGGGAGAGAGGATAGATCTGTTCTCAAGTGATTTCAAAGGTCAGGAACAAGGTCAGGGGATGAACTTACAAGAGGTGCAGAGTTTGTATCTCTATAAAGTTGATAAGGCTTGAATTACTCAAGAATTAATAAAATGCTTTCAAGAGATGCTGAGTGGCCTGTGGCTTCGAGGCATTCAAGCAGAGACTGAATGGCCAGTTGTTAGGCTTGCTTTTAGCTTAACTGAGTAAGTGACTTCCAAGTGCTTTCATACTTGGCTGGTCTTTAAGTCATGAATGCTATATTTTGCCGCAGTTAAATAAATGATTATTGAGCATCTGAAGTGAAAACCAAGCTTCCCAGAGATTGCATCATCTAAGAGAATGAGACTCCAGAGATTCCACCATCTAAGAAAATGAGACAATGAAGAATACCATGTAACGGTGTTCACTATAAACACCTCAGCCTTGTGACTTAAGTTACATAACAGTGCCTTAACTCTAATAAAGATTTTAAAATTATTTTTCAAACGTTCACCCTTTGAAAAGCATTGTTGTAGTATATTTTGTTTCCAGAGTATTCATCCACTGTATGCCGTAGGTGTGGTTTTGTAGTGGGCGATGAAGAAACAGCCTTTGGAAAACATTCTGAACCTCAGTTTACCTACTGATAAGATATTTATAAGCAGCATCACTTAATAATATTTGCTAATGTAACACCCAACAGTAAAATAACTTAAATAATATCTTAAAATAGGAGATAAAACATAGTAGAAATGCACTAGGCGAGTCCTTAGGATTCCTTAGAAAAATGCGTATGTTTTTATTATTGTTCAAATATTGTGGCTTGGAACAAAAGAACTACATGGAATATAAGTCTCATAGAAACAACAAGAAGTTGGTTGCAAATCTGGGCCCAAATTCAGCATTAAAGATGGGCCATTGGATTTATTTCTGCTATGGTGAGTAACAAAAAGAAGGCAGTGTTTAAGTTTCAACCAGGTTTATAATAAGTGAGATTCTTTCAGTATGTTTGAAAAATTGCTGGAGATTGTACACATCAAAAATTACAATATCTTGAAAAGAGATTAATCAACAGGATTAAAAGATATTATTCTTACTACAACCTATACACTAAGTTATGATGGTAAATGGCTAAGCCATAAGTTTCCTTTTATGGATGAGAACATTTATAGTACTTTTGGTACACATGGTATACCAATCTTACTTTTTTTTTCTAGTTTTTCTGGTTATTTCATCAATCAGGTTTCTAAGCTAAGGATGCTATGACTTATCATTCCCAACGTCACTAAAACCTCTTTCGTATTATTTGATGTTAATATTTATATTTGACCTGTGTGACGGAATGCAACAGTGTATAAAATCCAGTCTTTGGTGAGCACTGAAATTATATTAGCTATGTTAACAATCCTTAAGAGATTCATACATGTAATTAAAAAATAAAAAATTCTTGGAAAAAAGAATCTATATAAATTTTCTCAGTCATTGCTGACTCTAAAAAGGAAATTAGATTTTATTGTCTCTCTGTATAAAAAGATTTCTGTGCATTCTTTGTTGGAGTACATCACGGAGGCAGTCAAAAGTAAAGACCAAAGTTTTGCCCCCATATATGACTGAGCCAAACATATCAGGAAAATGCAAGCCTTCAGAACCAATTTTTGGCATGCTGTCACTCAGAGGAATTAAGATACACTATTTTCTGGAAAACTTCTCACTGAATAATAGTAAAACTCAGGGCACCATGGTTTTGGCTCACTTCATGATCTCATTGGTTTGTGGGACAGAGCCTGCTCTGCTCTGACAGCACAGAACCTGGTTGGGGGTCTTCTCTCTCCCTCTCTCTCTGCCCCTCCCCTACTTGCTCTCTCTGCCTCTCTCTGTCTCTGTCTCTCTCTCTCTGTCTCCGTCTCTCTCTCTCAGAAAATATATAAATAAGTAAATATATAAAGAAAAATACTAAAACTCTTCCATGGAAAAATACACTGGTCTGTAGTAAGATTCATAAGGCAGGTATTAGAAAAGAAAAGAAAGCCAAAGAAATGAAAAATAAAACAAAGACTGCACATCCAGTTAGCAATCAGCAGAGCCAGGAGAACCATCTCGGTAATTTGTATCATTTCCTTCATCATTCCAAACTCTTACACCCAAACACCAGGTACTACCATTCACTCGCCCTCTGAGAATAATCATAAAAGATGGGGGTATATTCTTTCCTTTTCCTTTATTATGAAAAAATTAAAATGTTCATGCCAATGCGTGCTGCCATGTCCTAAAAGTATGCATTCCAGCCCATGTACCCACCTGCCAGCAATGTGATCTTCAATGTCATTTAACACTCCAACTCTCCATTTATTTGAGGCATGAAGCCTATCAGTTTCCTTCCACAAAGGAGAATTACATCAAAGATGTAAATAAAAGTGCTTTGAGAATGTAACATGCTAGATACATACGTTGGGAACAGGAGAGGCTTACGTGGTCTGGTATTTTAAGGATAAATAAAACTTTCAAAAATTCTCTTTAAAAATGTATGTATAAAAGCTTGAAAAAGGTCTAACGACAAACAGTTTGCATCATAGGCCATAGTGCCAAAAATAAATAATTCTGACCCTCAGAAGTTAAACCTATTTGTTCTAGTAAAATTCACCTTGATAACAATCAAAATTTATTATCCAAAGGAGGGTACAAAAATCTTGTCATAGACGAATCGGATTTTGAACTTGAATGTTAGATTTGAGATGTCTGTCAATTAAATCTGAACACTCTGACATGCTCCCTTTTTAAAGAACATTCTACAAGAAAGGCATTACCATACTGTAAGCTCCACCCATTTCTGCACGATGCCAGATTATGAGTTCCTTTTGTAGTAATTAAGCCATGACAATCTGGTTCTGGTTCTAGATACAGTTCTGTTTTGTTGTGTATCTGAGCTGAGGATGCTAGTACGATTCTTTTTTCAGATTTAACACATAGTTGAGGGCTAATGACTAGCATTCTTGAAAATAACAGTGAATTTGTAATTCATATGACACAATGACTTACATATAAAATTTACACATACAAAAAATGAACAGCCTGTATTATTTATGATTAACATTTCTTATTGGTGTTTCCCTTTTTCCGTTTATAGTGAGCATGCAGTAAATATAAGTGACATTATCCATAACTTCAAAAGGAAAGAGAGCCATGACAATATACTGAAAGAAGAGAAGGTTATAAAGATGACAGTAATAAAAATAGAAAGGATATACCATTTAATAAAATCAAATGCATTTGATATACAGCATAAAAGAAAGAGGCTAAGCTGTGGCTAGAGAAACAAACACATTTGGTTTCTTACTAAGCCATTTTCTCCTAATAGGAAGATTGAAAACCTTTCTGCTGGGGATAAAATGTTTATCCTTATTTAAATATATGGTGTTAAATAAAGCAATGCCCATTCAAGGATGTATTTTTCTATTTACTGTTTCCTAAGAGTTTACTCTTCATCTCTTTCTATATGTTTTCAGTAGCAAGTCAAGAACAATTACTTAAAAATAGAGAGTGCTGAGGTGTGCTGAAGAACGTTCTACCCACACCTACCAAAAGTGCTTTAGGACTTTGTGGCAGATTTCAGGACCTTTGAAACTGAAGATCTGGATAAGCATGCACTGCACAATGTAATGTAAGTATACTTCTTATTTCTAGCAGTTAGCTGTGAGCATTTATTACAATATTTTGATAATGGAGGCTCCACCAAATAGAATATTCAACATGGACCCTCAAAGTCAGTCTGAATTGTGCTAAAGGAGCTATCTCAAAAAAGTACTATAAAATGGTCCTATTCTTCCTTTTATGTTTGTAGAAGTGATTTCTTTTCACAAAAGAATCTATGGAACCTCTCAATCCAGTACATATGTGCTTGTGCGCTCTATCAGAGAAAATTCCTTGAGACGAATTTTAAGTACACTTACCAGAGCCAAGTGACATGCCCTGCTATAAAGAAATACCAGAAATCTGACATATCTATAGTATTCACAGATGCAGATATATATTTATGGGACTCTATCAGCATAAATCAAATGGCTATGAATAAAACATCATTTAACCAATTCTAAACTTTAGAAGTAGAGCACCGCTAAATATCTCGCCACTGCTGGAAAAAAGAAAGCAACGAAGAAACACAGCTCCATAATAAGAATTTCTTTGACACATTACACCCAAGTTTTTAGCAATGCCCAAATATCATCAACCTAATGTTTATTTTTGGACACAGAAAAATAAAGGTAATTATACCTTCTAAATGTTCAACTTTTGGTACAATCCAGAAGGCATACCGGTTTACGCTCTGATACGCAGAAACATGCATACGTGGTGACAAACCATGGCTGCACTGAGACAAGAAGGCACTTAGACCGGGATATCTGAGGTCAAATGACTCAGTCCCCAGCTCCTCAATTTCTGTTGTACGAAAGAGCTGTTTCCAATCTTATTAGATAAATTATTAGTTGCTTTTGAACCACAAAAGATACTAGACAGAGATCCATGATCAATACCCATATTCCAAATCGAAGGAAAGCTGGGTGTTAACCCAACCCAAAGCCAGCCCTTTCATACTCAGCCAGTGACATGAACGCAATGGTGTGACATCCATGAAGCCATGCCGTAACAACACCTGCTTGGAAAACCTCTTTAGACATCACGGTCGGGAAAAGAATAGGCTTTGTACCCACCTGGGATCTTTCTGAATGCTATCGATGGACGGGGACCTGGCCAAGGTGCCTTCGGGCGGGAGGGCGGGGCCGGATTTGCTGTACGGAGACTCGACCGAGGGACAGTACTGCAGCTGTCGGTAGGGGTCCGCGTAATTGGAGGCTGGGCCCGCGGCGTAGCTGGCCCTCTGGAAGGTGGCCGCGGCGGCGTTCTGCGGGCCATGCTGGCTGCCTGTGCGCTGCAAGGGGACGGAGTCGACACCGGGGGAGGATGGGGCTAGGATAGGAAAGTAGGGACAAAGTAAAAACTTGAGGACCTGCTCACAGAAGCGGTTAACCAGGTCTAGGCAGGGGGCGGGGGAAATTACACACATAAGAACAAAAAAAGGGTTTGGAAGAATAAAAAAAATAATCTGTCATCGTTCAACCAGTACATTCAATGTTACCCACTAACGTGATCATTAGCATGCTATTTCCGAAATAAATAAACCTTTGGGCAATGGGGGGCGGGGGATGCATCCGTTCTGTGCTGATTGCTTATGAAACCCCAAGAGATGTTTCGTTCATCTCAAAGGTAAACTCTGAAAAGCCAAAACCCAGAGGATGCATAGGGAATATTTTATGAGGCATCGTGGATAGTTAGTTCTTTATTGTTCAAGTTGAGAAAATTCAGGAAGTGTCCAGGTGATGTAACATTAATTTTATTAAGAGTATAAAGCACACTTAATCATGTAGTTAATTTTCCCGGATAAAAGGAAGAAACCGCAAGCCTGGGGGTGGAGGTGGAGAGAGGCAGGGGCCCTATTTCCACAATTAGTCCTAGAGCATTAAACACAGGACTGCTCCGGCTCCTGGGAGGCAACTCCCCAGAGATTTTCACATGCCCCTTCTTCAACTAAAGCTGTTATAGTAGCAGATAAATTCGGTGGAGGGTAGGCATGTGGGAGAAGGTGAAGACCAGCCCCGCCGCCACACAGACGAAATAATGAGCCGGCCTGGCTTTTCTGAAAGCATCTGCATCTTTTCAAAATGTCTACATTGTTCTGGGAAGAGTTTCCACCAGTTACTAACATCAGTTTGACTAGTTCCAAACTGAATTTCAGTTCTGCTTCCTTGGCGGATTCTTTTCAGTTCATTTCATGGCCTTGTTTTTATCTGGTTCTCAAAAATACTTGACTTCCAAGGTTTAATGACCATGTACAATGCAAACAGCATCTTTCATGTTAATAGAATGTGACCAGTTATTAACTGCTGCAATGGTTTTTAGCCATGATCAGCCTTACCCAGAATCATTTCTTTGCTGGCATTGCAGATCAGAAGACATCCCAAATGTAACCAGTGTTTGGATGCAACCAGTTATATACCATGGGTGCTCTGCAGAGTAAGATTTCAATTATACATCATACCCCTCAACTCTGACTTCTGAGGGCTGATTAGTGGCTGGCAATAGAGCTTATTTTGCCCTCTCTCACACTACAGGACATATGCCAAATTACACACAAAAACTTAAGTCACACTGACCAAATGATTACTAAAAGAAGTTAAGGAAATTGTGTCAGATGACAAAAAAAAGGTGTAAAGTGAACTGAAGGAAAACATTCTAATGCTGAGAACTGAGTTTTCATTAGATTTCTTGGGGGCTCAGTCAGGTAAGCATCCTACTTCTGCTCAGGTCATGATCTCACGGTTCGTGGGTTCGAGCCCTGCATCGGGCTCTGTGCTGACAGCTCGGAGCCTGGAGCCTGCTTCGGATTCTGTGTCTCCCTCTCTCTCTCTGTCCCTGCTCTGCTCACACTCTGTCTCTCTTTCCTTCAAAAATAAACATACATTTAAAAAACAAAGAGTTCAGGGCTTCTCTGGATGCCTGGGTGGCTCAGTCAGTTAAGCATCTGACTCTTGATCTCGGCTCAGGTTATGATGTCGCAGTTCATGAGTTTGAGCCCCGCACTGGGTTCTGTGCACACAGTGCGGAGCCTGCTTGGAATTCTCTCTCCCTCTCCTTCTCCCCCTTCCCCATTTGTGCTCTCTCTCTCAAAATAAATAAACTTAAAAAAAAAAAAGGTTAAAAAAAGAGTTCAGGGCTTCTCATTTCCAATGAATTGTAATAGTTAATCTTAAAATAATCAAAATGAGGAGAACAGCCACTGAGGCATGGTGAAAAGTAGTAACACATTTAAGAAAAACTTTCTGAATAAAAAATGTATGTACATTCTGAGGAGCAGTCTTTGAAATGATGAAGGTTGTCCTGATGGATTAAGTTTCAAAATGATCAGTTTAGACTAATGAACTTTAAGTTCAGAACCAGGAAATCTGTCTTATGTCCTTATACAATTTCTGGAAGAGTTCTATTTTCTCGTAAACTTACAAATGTGTCCTTAGAATTCATGTTTTAAAAACGTATGAACAATGTGCTTTATATTACAATGACGGGGGTTTAAAATTGAGGCCAGGCATAACCTTGCTTTCGGAAGAACAAATGCACAGAGGCAAACAAAATTTCATTTTCTAGAAGAGTTGTGACCAGCTAGCCAGCAAATCCAGGGCAAAAGGAGAAAACTAAATACACCTGACATTTTCTAGATAAATGCATTTTTTCCCTCTTTGGGAAAGCAATACCTACATTCAAGCTTGCTGAAAATGGTTACTAATACCAGAAGATAAATCCTTTTCTCTTCCCAGGTGTTGATAATTAATACAGTAAGTACAGTGATTAACAGGAAAGAAGGACAACATGGTGAGATCAGGAAATAATATTGAAATCTAAAAAAAACAAAAAAAACTAAACTTGTTAAAAAAGTAGTAATGGTAAGGTGAGGGACCTAACTAACCATGCAAAAACTCTCAAGGGACTTTAAATTGAAAGAGAATATCATGAGAGGGTTTAAAACAAAAACAAACAAATAAAAAAACCCCACAACACTCATGGCAGCAAAGCCTGTAAGGACACTGGCTTCATGTGTGAAAATAGGGTGTGAAATGCAGCTAATTAAGCAGAAACAGGAAGGCAACATGTCAGTATTCCAGGAGGAAGAGAAGGCGGAGGCAGATTTATGAATACTGTTAGGCTTGTACTTGTACTTCACTTTGGCCTGTTTGGGGTCAGGGTCACGGAACTCATTCAGAGCCTGGCTTCTGAAGTTAGAGAAGAAGTGGGTTCCTATCCAGGCCTCTGGACAATTCTTGGTATGAGATGAGTGAATAACTGAGCTTTTTAAGCTCCGCCTTCCTGACTGTGAAGAGAACAAGGTGGCCTTATGGGATCATTATTGGCTTTAAAGACATGAAGGGTATGAAACATCTCATATGTAGAAACTGTTAAATGAGCTACTGCTATTTTTACCATTAACAATGTTAAAATCAACACTAGACAAGGGAATGGGACCCACTGCACTAGGGGTTGGGGATGGGGGAGACACTTGCTTGGGTATCAGGCTCCAGAGCTCCCACAAAGGCTTTTTGTCTGCTAAGACCCTGTAAGAGAGTGATCACATCACTCTCACTTTACAGATGGGAAACTGAGGCACAGAGAGATTACGTAACTTGCATGAGTCTGCCTGATCTAGCAGGGAAGGGGTCAAGCCCTTGCACCCTGCCTCCATAGTTTACACTTACAACCACCACTGCAAACTGGACCAGGTTTAAAAGGTCAAAATGTGTGTTGCTGAATTACCTTCATGGTAAGAAAACTTATGAGAGGCTTCAAATGAAGGGAAATGCCTACTAAAAACACATAAGATAGATAGGCTTATGAAAAATTGTTAAAAGTTTGTGTGTTAATTTATACCATTTCTCATCAAGTTGAACTTACTGAGATATGCAGAAAAACATGGGGAAAAATTCTTCACATAGAAAAACCTAACTTTGTTAATTTCTAGAAAAATCAAATAGGGATACTCATAGTTACCTTAATTTTATTTCCAAGTGTTTTTTTTTTTTTAAATGTTTATTTCTTTTCGAGATAGAGTGTGAGACGGTAAGGGGCAAAGAGAGGGAGACAGAGAATCGGAAGCAGGCTCTGCGCTGGCAGCGTGGAGCTCAATGCGTGACTTGAACTCATGAACTGTGAGATGATGACCTGAGCTGAAGTTGGATGCTCAACCGACTGAATTACCCAGGCACCACTCAAAGTGTTTTGAGTCTTTGTTTAATCACTGATACCACTATAATTAGGAAAAAAGAGGGTGGACTCTGAAGTCTAAGATGGGTGAGCAACTTTCGGAGAGATCTTCTTAGAAAATCATAATCGCAGTGTGGCATTTGATAAATGACATTTCGGAAGTATCATTCCTGAATCCACAGTTTAAACTTTTAGGGCAGAATAAATAGGATACCTGATGGGAATTTCAACATATAAAATTAGAATTCAAATGCGTACTGCCAAATTGAGAAAAAAAAGAGACTGATCAGTGCAAAGAAAGAAAACTGCAAAATGCGATACAGATGGGAAGAAAAAAACACTCTCTTAAAGTGTGGGTCACGCAACTGTCTGTCTGGAAGAGAATGTGTGAGGCTCAAATAGATGTCAAACTAGCCATCAGTATGTAACAATGCAATGCCTTGCATTTCTTTCAGCATGACATCGAAAAATGACTCGGCGTCACACATTAAATTCTCCCTTTGTGCCCTGCCTGTTCAGACCTCAGCGTGGCACATGCAAACCATGGCCCCCCATTAGTAGGGATCAGCGGGTCACACTCTTAAAGACTTTCCTTTAGCACGTTGCCTGAATTTCTGTCCCATCACACATTTTCTCTTATTTGAGCTTTAGAGCTCCGCTGACCACATCACCCGCCTTGCAGGATGGCTCTATTCACGGAATCTTCCAGGGCAAACATTTGAGGTGGAAGGCGCTTGGTCAGCTGGTTCAACACTCCCCTCTCTCCTCACTTGCTCTGAAAACAGTCCCTTCTCCCCTCAAAAAGCTCTCAGAGCTCAGCGAGCCGTGCTGCTGGTATCTTTGGGGAGGTTTTAAAAGCAGCCTGTTCAGCAGCTGACTTGATACTTCACCTGACATCTATGCTGTTCACAAAATTATCTGTCTTCTCCAGGGTTACACAAATAAAGGTCTACTGCATAAAAGAGGTAAAAAGATGTTTTATGTGTACTATTTGCTTGAAATGGGGGAGGAGGGGTCCTTTTTCATAAACCAGACATTCTACTTGGATGATGAGAGATGGTCACATCCATTATTTACTGACCATAAAAAAAAAAAAAAGGACAGAATGCAATATAAGAATCTGGCACATAAAGAGATTTGGTTGCAGAGCTGGGGGGTGG